TATATATATATATATATATATATATATATATATATAATGTGGTATATTTTGTATAAGGTGTATGTATGGGGGTATCTTATGTAGACGTTACATAGTGAAAGTAATGTTCTGGGATTAATTAGCTGCTTTAGAATGTTTAAACTGCAGAGGGTATCAGAGCCTTCACAAAACAAGCATCAATTATCTTTTAACGACCAGTTTCCCAGGTGAACAATGTTTAATGTAATTAGTCATTTGCTCTAATTGGACTGGTGAAGGCTTATAAAATACACGTACCTCCAGTTGCATGTATGCTTGGATTTGTAGATTCTGTGGAGTGGTTTAACAACGTAAACACTGGGGGGTTTTTTTTTTGGAGTACTTGTGGATTTTTGTCATGGGTCAAGGGTGGAAAAGGTGAGTTTATTGATTCGATCTGTGTTTGTGTATGGTTCTGTGAACGTTTATTAATTATATATTTTTTTAATTTGTAGGTTATCTTTGTTTGTAGTTTTCTTACTATTTTGGAAGAATGCTGATGGATTTAAAGGTGTGGTTTTCTTTTTTTTTCCCTTTGTCTTGCAATGATGCATGTTTAGTGGTGCTTGTGTAAAGTCTTTTGTTGTGTAATTATATAGGTAGAGCTTATTCCAATGCCCATCATCTGTGGGGTCAGCCTTCTGATGGTCTTTCACCTCATGCAGTCCAGTCTTCTATGTTAGAGACCCGTGTGACTTTGCCTGTTGAAGTGGGCTCCGGTTTGTTCCCTAACAAACCCCTGAAAAGCAGGTCAAAGCTTAATGCACTCCAGTTTGTCAAAGGTGGTTCTAGCAGCTATCGGCCAACGTCCCTTGCCCAAACTGCTCCAGGCAGCTCTGTATCTGCTTCCTTGCCTCTGCCCCCAGTTCAACAGCCTTCAAGCAGTTTGATGTCCTCTGGGTCAACCATTTTGGGTGTTGCTAGTGGATGAAGTTTGGAGACCCAGTATGCTGCAAGTGGTTCTGGATCCCTTGTTTCTAACCAAGGAGAGCGTAATCGCTACTCTGAGCTTGGCATTTCTGGCCCGTCTACCAGTGATAGTTTGCATGTGTCCAGCTCCCAGGCAACATCTGTTCATCAATCAGCAGATGCCTCTTTGCCCGTGTTCTCTCAGGAGAGTGTCCCTTACAGTAGCTGGTCTAGCCAGGCTCAAGGCTCTGCCACTTCTCGGGGCAGCTCTGGGGCTGTATTGTCTGCAAGTTCTGTCCAGTCTATCCCCACACAAGTAGGGAATAACCATTACAGTGGCGTGTCCCAGACTCCCACTACCTCTAGTCTGTATACCGCAGGATCCCTGATGTCTAACAAGCTTGATGCTTTACCCTTGGGGGTTTCTAGCCAGTCAAAAAGTGCTCAAAGTTCACCTAGTGTGTCTACATCAAGCACTCAGACCAGGTATGGTACTCGGTTAGCAACTTCTAGTCGTTATGTCCCTGTACAGGGAGGTAGTAGCTCTAATAGTTTTTCTCTCAAGCCTCAGGGTACTCTGGGTCAGTATGCTCCTGGATCCCCTACCAAATATGTAAGGGCTCGCATGTCTTCACCCCAAGCCATTTATAGCCAAACCACAAGTAGCGGGTCTTCCTATAAAACCGTTTCACAAGTTGGTTCTCGGTCTCAAACGGGAGCTTCTGGTCAGTTTACATCTCAGGGAGGGAACCATTATAGTGGGTTGCTTCCACAGTCTCCAGCTACCTCTAGTCAATCTGCTCTTGGCTACTCCAAGCTTATTTCCTCACCCCAAAGGACTTCCAGTCAGTCTGCCAGTGTATGGAGTTCCCGTAAGCAATATGCCTCTGCCTCCCAAGGCAACTCTGGGGCTCAGTTTGGGGCCTCTACAGGTTTTGCCCCAGAAAGAGTGAATCGCCGTTACAGTGGTTCTGTCCAGCCTCAAGATACTGCTAGCCAATTTGCCCCAGGGTCTCCAACCTCATATCCAGGTTTATCGTTGTCTTCACCCCAAGGTGTTTCCAGTCAATCTAGTTCACAGAAGCAGTTTACCTCTGCCTCCCAGAGAAGGTTTGGGGCCTCTACAGGTTTTGCTTCACAAGGGATGAGTAGGTTTTACAGTGGTTCTGTCCAGTCTCAAGATCCTACAAGTCAATTTGCCCCTAAACCTCAGTCTCCCTACGCAAGTGTATCACTGTCCTCACCCCAAGCTGTTGCTGGTCCTAGTATGGTTCAGAGTTCACGGAAGCAGTTTACTTCTGTATTTAGAGGCAGCTCTGGGGCTCAATCTGGAGCTTCTACTAGTTTTGCCCCAGAAAGAGTGAATGGCTTTTACCGTGGTTCTGTCCAGTCTCAAGATACTGCAAGTCAATTTGCCCCTGGATCTAAATCCTCCTATGCAAGTGTATCACTGTCCTCCCCACAAGCTGGTCCATCTACTACTATTCATGGTTCTTGGAAGCAGCTTGCTTCTACCTACATGGGCAGCTCTGGCACCCAGGGAGTGTCCTCCACTCCCTTCACCCTGCAGGGAGGCACTGCTTATGGTGGATCATCTCGGCCTCAAGATGCTGCTAGTCAGTTTATCCCTGGGTCTTCATCCCCATATACAAGTGTGTCATCGTCCTCATCCCAAGGTGTTGCTAGTCCGTCCAGCCAATTGTATCAAGGCTATTCTGTGTCCCAAAGCCAGTAGTCTCAAAAATGGCAGCCTTTAGCCACTCGTTGGACACAAGGTATTCTGACCTCAGATGCTGCTTCACAGGGTAGCTCTTCATCTCAAAGCTCTCCAATGCAGTTCTATTCCCTGTCATCTGCAGAAGGCTCATCTTCAAGAGTTTCTGGTCCGTTTGTTTCTGCACTGGGTGGTAGCACCAGTTACGGTGGGTCTTTCCAATCTCAAAGCCTTTCTACAAAGTATACCCCTGGGTCCCAGATCTTGCCCTATGATCCAAGTGTTTCTGGTCAAGGTACATCCAGTGCTTCAGCTTCTGAGGTCTTGAGTAGCTACAGTTCAATTAACAACCAGAATGATCCCGCTCCATCCCGCCACTCTTCCTCAAGCCGCTTCTACTCAGTCAAGGGCTGAAAGACTCCAGTAATCTGCTGCAAATGTCCTCCAGAATTGAAACCCCAATAAATGTTTTAAGCAAAGCTGTTTTCTCAGCGTGTCTTTTCCCCAACCAAAAATGGCAAAGTCTCCATACAATCCATCACAATATAATTGACTAACATATGGGGGGGGAAAGGAATGCATTATTTAAAAAAAAAAAAAAACACTAGATGGATTGACATCTTCATTCAAACCATTTGGTTGTACAGTGTTAAGACTAAAAATCCAAGTTTCAATTTTCAAAAACCGTTCAGGCTATAGGAATGTGCAGGTGTGTAGCATTTCTTTATAAAGTGACCAACGACTTGCTACTGATAGTAACAACCGAACAGTTCATCACAAATTTAGTATTTTACAATTTATTTTTTTTGTAATTGCAGTATATCAGTGTGTGGCTAGGGACACTTCAAAAATAAATGGTGATTATTATAGGTCCAATCTTGGTGCTAAAATATCAGTGATCTGTATCGGCCTCAAATTTCAGTTTTTTTTTTTTTTTTTTTTTTTTTTTTCATTAGGGCAAAGAAAGAAAGAAAGAAAGAAAGAAAACGACGTTTCTGAAGACTACCAGACTACGTTTTCCACAACATTTCTAAAATGTTTTATTTTGGTTACATTATTGTAATTATAGGTGTGGTTTCTAGAATTTTAAAATGCAACGTCTTGAAATATTGTAAACACGTTTTGTGTTTGTTAGTGTTACAGTTAAATATTTTAGTACCAAAAGAAAAATTCCAGTGATAAAATTCTGAGCCGCCTCGCCCTCTTTACGTGAATCTGGACTTTTATTTTGAAAAATGAAGGCAGAAGGCGTGAAGCCAACAACTAATGGGATAGTGCAACACTTTTGTAAAAAAAATCTGACCAGTAAAAGCGGTAGCATAACAATAGCTTTTATATAAAATAATCTGTGATAACTAAAGGCAGGCCTGGTTGTGATAAACTGTGCAGCAGCGACGTGTCATCCAGTAGAAAATTTTATTTATACCACAGTATATTTAGGATGACATCTGGTCACAGGTCTGCATATATTATAGAATGGTTAAGCAGCTCAAGCTCGTTCAGTCAAAATTTAAGTCTATCCATCAACTGTACATTTTCTTATTTTATTTTTACTTTTGAAATTTGTTAATGCTAATGTTATCTTGGTTTGTCTATTGTTGCAAATAAAAAGAGAATGTATTAAGTAATATATATGGAAACGCATGGCTTTTCACTTCACAAAACATTAGCTGAGATATATATCAAAAGGTAAATGTAGTCCGTGTGCTATTAGATTTTGGTTTTAATCTTTGGGCTAATTTTCTCAAATTCCACTGTCTTATTTCATTTGTCCACTGCACTAAAACAGTTGTGCATGACATTGATGCTACCACAGAGTGGCGCTGTGGTCATTAAAATAAAATAATCATGAAAAAATATATATCCATTTCTCACTGGGCTGCCCTTTGAGACCATTTCTGAGACATTTTAGTGGGCAGCAGAGTGGACATGTAATTGTATGTATGAAATTATGCAGCTCTAGTGTTGATGAAAAAAATGAGGATGTTAATGCCTGACAATACTGATAATACTGTACAATGAACAGAGAACATGAGACTAATTTAAAGGCGGAATCCTAAATATTGCTGTGTGTTTACTAGAGGTTTGACGATTGTGATCTGGTTTAGCACTGTTTTCTCATTTTCATGTAATGCTCTTCTATCAAAATGTTGCTTTACAGGACACACAGTATATGTTTTCCTTTCTGTCCAGAAATTATGCAGCTCTAGTGTTGATGGAAAAAAATGAGGATGTTAATGCCTGACAATACTGATAATACTGTACAGAGAACATGAGACTAATTTAAAGGCGGAATCCTAAATATTGCTGTGTGTTTACTAGAGGTTTGACGATTGTGATCTGGTTTAGCACTGTTTTCTCATTTTCATGTAATGCTCTTCTATCAAAATGTTGCTTTACAGGACACACAGTATATGTTTTCCTTTCTGTCCAGCTGTGTGTATGAAATTGCTGGTGACTGAAATGTGTGGGTTCAATGTTTGAGGCCATTTCCTGATAGAAATGGAATATTATTTCCATGTGTTTGTATCTAAAATTACAAAGTCATGGAAATAGTCATGTCATTTGCACAGGAGAGACCAAAGTGAAGGTGTTTGGGCATAATGCACAATGCCAATTTCAACACAACCCTAACAAAAGGTATCACAAAAAGCACCAAAAGTTATGATAAGATATCAATTATGTTGGTGGAGGGTGATGATTTAGGCTTGTTTTGCAGCCACAGGATCTGGACAGCTTCCAGGCATTGAGTCCACCATGAACTCCTCTGTATACCAAAGTATTCTAGGGACAAATTTGAGGCCATCTGTTCAACATCTAAAGCTTGGCTGAAATTGGTTGTACAACAGATCAGTGACACCAAGGACATCAGAAAGTGAACAGCTGAAAATTAGAAGTCATTTTCAAGGAATTAAAGTCCTCCCAAAACTAAAAATTATTTTTTAAAAATACTCACCCTCATGTGGTTACAAGTATGAGTTTATTTCTTCTGTGGACACAAAATGAGATTAAATTGTTGCTGAATAGTAAAACAAATATTTCATTAATATTGCATTAATACAAATTAGAATTCATGGTCATGGAATAACCAGGAAAACCACAACCCCATTGTGACGTGCTGAGGGATAGTACACCCAAAACTAAAAATTCTGTCCACTCCCTCATGGGGTTCCAAACATGGATTTCCAAACATTTTTTTTTTGGACACAAAAATTCCATTGCTCTAATTCTTAAAGGAACAGTTCTCCCAAAAATGAAAATTTACTAAAAATGTATTCACCCTCAGGACAATCAAGTTTATTCTTCTGAAAAGATTTGTTGAAATTTAACATTACATCACTTGCTCACTATCCTCTGCAGTGAATGGGTGCCTTCAGAATGAGAGTCCGAACAGCTGATAAAAACATCACAGTAATCCATAACTAATCCAGATGACTCCAGTCCATCAATTGTCTTGTGCAGTGAAAAATGTACGTGTTTGTTATAACAAATTCAAAATCAAGACATTTTTAACTTCAAACCATTGATTCTGGCTAAAATAAGAGTCCTCTATTTATAATATTGCTTTCTCCAGTGAAAAAATGGTCTCGTCTGAATCAGGAAAGAAATATACACAGATCAAACACCGATTACAAGCGACAATAAGAACAATTATAAGCAAATGTCAGTGGATTTTGATAAGAAAGGCCAAAATAAATGGATGGACTTCTTCACTGGATGGAGCGTTATTATGAATTAAGGACTTGTATTCTGGCCAGAAGCAATGGTTTAAAGTTATAATGCAATAATGCCTAATTGTTGCTTACAAACACGTGGCTTTTCACTTCACAAAACATTAGCTGATGGACTGGAGTCGTGTAGATTACTTTTGGATTTTGTAATGGTTGTTATCAGCTGTGGATCTGCACCCATTCACTGCAGAGGATCCACTGCTTTAATTGTTTTCTACACAAACATGTCTTGCTCATGCTTGAGCACTGCGTTTAACCGTAGTGTCAATTTAAAAGTCCAACTTTTAAATGCATCTGTACTTCATCACGCAATTTGTAAACGCAAAAATGCTTTCTGTATGAACTGCCACAAGACTTCTGGCAATATGCTCAATCTATGTAGCACTGTCTGAAAATGCTCAATCTTGTCTGAAAAAAAAGAGCGTAATAATCAGCATATAGACTGTTTCCCACTCTCTGACTAAATGCTCACTTCAGAGCATCTGTCAGGCTCTTCATAGCCAACCAGCAGGTTTCTGTGAATGAGAAATGTATTTGATGAAAGCTCTTGTACCACTCTTGTCTTTTGTAAAGGGACAAATCCTGACATACAGTGCTCTGCTTGGCAGCTCATCTCTCTTTTCTGTAATCATCATTAAAATCGTTCGTCCTGCTGCTCCAGTGTGACCTCATTGTCACGTCCCATAGGTCAACATGCGTCTGCCAAACACTAAGGCCACTATCATGGACAGACGTGTCAGCGGGCCCTCAGGAGCATTCTGGTGCCAAAAGCTAGTAATGGATTATTGTCATGACATATCACCTTTTGATTTTTCACATGTTAACAACAAATTGCATGGTGGGTGTAGTAGAAGTCCATGAGAAGAGTGGAGGGAAAACCAAAGACCTTTTTATCCCTACCTCTCAGGTATCGATTCATCATAATATCACCTAAATATGAAGAGCTGGTAAAGCGTAGCTTATTTAATGTGTGCTATGATACAGTTATCATCATTATCTTCTCTGGCCTCCCTAACAGCTTTACAATCCCAATGAGCTCTCTTGGCAACAATATTTGCCCTACTTTATGAGAACATTAATCACATGTCCATGTACTTTAAGTCACATCATTTCCATGGTGTCCTGGGGCTCTGGTGCAACCTCTCATTGCAACAGTCCTCCTGGATTATGTTTATTCATACTGTGAGCATCCTCAACGATTCTAATGATGTCAGTGTATTTTTAAGTCTGCTGCCCTTTCGCTCATACATTTTAGTATGGAGCCCCTGGCAAGAATGTTGCATTAATGTGCCGCCTGCAATGATGAAATATTTAACTTTTACTTTGTTAGTTTGTATTGCTGTTATAATCAGGTTGATTACTGCCAATTTTAAGCTGAGGATTCGAGACATCAGTATAGATATTCAATCCCCAGTGTCATAGCACAGGCTGATGCAAGCAAGCAAAATACTTAAGCAATTTAAATAACTGAGGTGGCAGTATTAGCATGTGACATGAAGAAATGAAATAAAGCAGCAAAAAGCAATACAAATAAATCAAATTTCGGAAAGTTCATGCCCAGGGTGATTTGAAGATTTCAGTCTAAGCAGGCTTGAACATGAGGCGTTGTTACTCAGAGGAATATTAGTTGCCTAAGTGCATTGATCGACTTATAACTTAAAGTAAAATAAAATAATTCAAATGTGAATTAAAATTAAATGCAAATTTTATTTATACAAACTATTTTAATTATCAATTAAAATTATTTA